CTCTCTCTCTCTCTCTCAAAAAAATAAAATAAAATAAAATAAAAAATAAAAGCCTGGCACTTAAAAGTGATAATCATTAGAAAATGAAGAATTCACTAAGGATAAATTTTAATACCTGAAATTTCTTTTGTGACAGTACTAGACTGACAAATAGATGTAACAGAAGAGAAACAAAAGGGCCTAATCTTCATGTATAGAAGCTAAAGAAATATGAAACTGATACCAGCAAACTTATAGTTAATGTGAAAATGATAGAATCTATGTTAAAAAATACTTAAAAGAGGGGTGCCTGGGTGGCTCAGTCCGTTAAGTGTCCAACTTCCACTCAGGTCATGATCTCATGGTTTTTGAGTCCGAGCCCACGTAGGGCTCTGTGTTGACAACTCAGTGCCTGGAGCCTGCTTAAGATTCTGTGTCTCCCTCTCTCTCTGTCCCTCCCCCACTCTCTCTTGCACATGCACACTCTCCCTCTCTCTCAAAAATAAACATTAAAAAAAATTTTTTAATGCTTGAAAGATATATACCTAGTATTTTATAATACTGTATTTGTAAAAATGTGAATTGATACACAAAGATGATTTAATAGCAATGTATTTGACTTGTGACATTATGTCAAAAATGAGTCAAAAGTACTACTGTCCCCCCTCAAATGCTACTTTAAGTACATCATATAATAAAGTATATGATGATACTCTTATTCTCCCTTAATCAATTCACATATGATGTATTAATTACATTGTTGTAAGTACCATTTTTAAAGAAAAAACATTGATAAAGTGGGTATCTTTCTGGTCTAAAGAATGGAAAATTTAGAAACAGCCATATACAAAATGCCTGACAAATCTGAAGTCATTCATTCATTAACAAATATCTTATTTACTAAAGACTAGAAATTACCATTCTAGGAACTAGGGATATATCTGTAGACAAGAAAAAGCCCATGCATTAACAGTGTTAAGTTCCAGAAATAAAGATGTATATATGTACATATGCATGCATATTACATCTTATCTCCCCAAAAGTTGAAATTGGTTTATAAGTTACATAGAGCATAAGAAGACATAAAATGTAAGTAGTTAAGTAAAAGAAGCAAAGGAAAAATAAGTTTAGGGGCAGGTAAGTACCAGAAATTAGAATCAAGAAGTAGAATGTTTTATCAAAGAAAAATATTCATTATAAGGGTGGATGATCACAGGCTATGAAATAAGATTAATAATAATAATAATAATAATAATAATAACAATAATAGTACCACTGCCAGGTAACCTTACATACATCATTTAGTATTATTCATTCTAAGGGCTTTACATATGTTAAATAATTTAATTCTCCCAACAACGTACGAGAAAAAAGCTATTATTATCTTCATTTTACAGATAAAGAAAAATAGGCAAAGAAAATTTAATTTGGAAAAGGTCACAAAACTAGTAAATACAGAATCCAGAATCAAAACCCTGGGATTTGAGGGGCTCCTGGGTGGCTCAGTTAGTTGAGCGACTGACTTCAGCTCAGGTCATGATCTCGCAGTTTATGAGTTCGAGCCCCACGTCGGGTTCTGTGCTGACAGCTCAGAGCCTGGAGCCTGCTTCGAATTCTGTGTCTCCCCCTGTCTCTACCCCTCCCCTGCTCATGCTCTGTGTCTCTCTATCTCTCAATAATAAACATTAAAAAAAAATAAAAAAATAAAAAAAACCCTGGGATTTGATCCCAGGATCAGAATAAGTCTGTCTTCATACAAGTCCATATAAGCAATAAAATCTCATTTAATAATATTTTTAAAGTCTTTCGAAATTTAAGAATTTAAAAACAAAATTCTCAAATTTTAAAATAATACATTATGTGTGTATTTTTCTCTGTAACAGCTCTAAAACTCAACTTTATGAGAAACTAGCCCTTATCCTAATTTCTGATTTTTTTTTTTAAACAAACCTAGATATTCTCTCAGGTTAAAGGCTGGTTTTATTTCTGTGTATGAAACAACTTCAACTCCTCCTATTTGCCTTATTAACAAAAATAGCTACAAGAATAGTTAAGAGATTGTCTCCGAATTCAGACTTCCTGGATTCAGATTTTAGCTGTATTACTCACTTGCTGTGTGACCTTAATGACTCTACTTCTCTAGGTCTCAGTTACTTCATCTAAATATGGGAATGAAAGTTCCTTATCTAATAATGTTGTTGTTATGAGGATTAAATAACATAACTGGGTTTAAACCCTTAGGAACAAAGTCAGGCATATAGCCAGCATTCAGCTAAGGTGAGATATGACCAGTTCTCTTATAACCCCAGCTTTGAGCTTAAAAAAAAAAAAAAAAAAA